AAGAAGAAGAAGAAGAAGAAGAAGAAGAAGAAGAAGAAGAAGAAGAAGAAGAAGAAGAAGAAGAAGAAGAAGAAGAAGAAGAAGAAGAAGAAGAAAGGTTTCCTGAGGCTTAGAAAGTGTTCCTATTAGATCCTTAACTTTCCCCTCATTTTCTCTCCTATAATCAAAGTCAGATGTCTCCCTGAATCTGCTTCCTAAAGATGCCCTTTCAGGGTATAGTAGCACGTACCTATAAGCCCAGCACTCAGGAGGCTGAGGCAAAAGGATCACCATGAATTCAGAGCCAGCCTGGACTTCATGGTGAGATCCTGTCTCAAGAAAACTTAAAAAAAAAATGCCCTTTCAGATCCTCAAGCAGCCATGGATGTTTCTGTCAATACAAGACAGTGCATTGTTCAGGGCATGAACACAAAGCCACAAGCGCAGATGTGCCCAGACAAAGCTGAGGTTATTTAGAGAAAAAGTATAAGAGCTGGATGGGACAGGAAGAGAAGATTCTTCTGATTCAAAGAGTGACAGGAAGTAGGAGACGGGAGGCAGTTGAAGAAGAGTACACCAAGTAGTGATTGCATAGCACCAATGGTTGTCATTGCTTGAGCTTACATGATGTTTTGCTGAATATACTTTTTTTAAATTGCAAATGAGATCAATCACCATGTTATTTTACCATCCACTATGTTTTCATCTCTTGTTTTTAAAGAAAATTGTGAAAGGTGTGTCTGCTATGTGACATTTCCCCCCATACTGGCTGGCAACAGCTATCGGTTCTCCAGGCTGAGCTGCCCCTTCCCACCCAGGGACCCAGCGCAGAATCCCCTTACCTGAGCTTCTCCACTAGCGACACCTCGTCTGCCTGCTCCCCCGCCTTACACTGCTGCTTCTCCCTCAGCAGAGACTCAGGGATGTGGTTGTTCAGACATTCTGAGAAAACACATGCAGCAGCCTCAGTGGACAGCTTGACATCCTCCACAGACACCGCCGGACGAGGAAGAGGTAGTGTCTGTGCCAAGCCCACACCAAGCCTCAGTGCCGGGCTCTTGCAGGGAGTGCCAAGTTCGTATTTACCAGTTGCTCAGCTACACAGCAGTACTAGTCTCCATTTTAGAGGCAAGGGCTGTGAAGCTTAAAGGCAGGAAGTTGATGAATGATTCAGCTGGCAACATGAAGTCAGAGGTCTGGCTCTGAACCCAGTACCAGGGTCATGGCCAAGCCCTGAGCCTCTTCTTTCAGACACTTAGCCAGGCACGAAGCAGAGACACTGTTACTCTTGGATTGGAGCTGATAGGACCTCTGCGTTTGTGTTTCAGCAAAGCATAGGTTTTCCGAAGATTGAAAAATCTTATTTGGACACATGTTAAGACATAATGCATAAGAAAACAAGGACCCAGGCACTTGGTCGCCGCGGTTTACAGTGCAGTTATGGCCAAGTCCAAGAACCACACCACGCACAACCAGTCCAAAAAATGGCACAGAAATGGCATCAAGAAACCTCGGTCACAAAGATACGAATCTCTGAAGGGGGTGGATCCCAAGTTCCTTAGGAACATGCGTTTTGCCAAGAAGCCCAACAAGAAGGGCTTCAAGAAGATGCAAGCAAACAATGCCAAGGCCATGAGTGCACGCGCCGAGGCTATCAAGGCCCTCATCAAGCCCAAGGAGGTCAAGCCCAAGATCATTTCAAAGGGAGTAAACCACAGGCTCGCTCGACTTGCCTATATTGCCCACCCCAAGCTTGGGAAGCGTATCCGTGCCCGCATTGCCAAGGGTCGCAGGGCTTGCCGGACAAAGGCCCAGGCTCCAGCCAAGGCTGAGGCTCCAGCTTCTGCTCCAGCCAAGGCCCAGGCTCCAGCTTCTGCTCCAGCCCAGGCTCCCAAAGGTGCTCAGGCCCCTGTGAAGACTCCACAGTGAAAGCCTCTTACTGCTGATGTAAAAACAGAAGGACTGGGGTGCCATCTGTGGGGGGCTGGTGTTCTCCTGTGCTCTTTGTACAAATAAACCTGAGGCAGGGAAAAAAAAAAAAAAAGAAAAGAAAACAAGGACCAGAAAATATATTCCCACAATAATAAACTTGTGGTAAGGTACAAGGAACAGAGCAACAAACTCTGAACGTGTGCACTGTGCCAGGATCTGTTGTGAGGCTTTGCTAGGATTCACTCCTGTGTTCATTACAACTCAAACAAGCAGGCAGTGGGCCGGCAAGATAGCTCAGCAGTCTAAAGCGCATGCTTAGGCAAGCTTAGGCAAGCACAGGGGACCATGGTTCCATCCCTGGCACCACATGCCACTCTAGCCTGGCACTCAGAGCAGGCTGAACCAGCCAAAAAAGAAAAAAAAAAGAAGCAGGCATGACTTTCAACCACAAGGACAGCTGAGGCACATGAGGCTGGGAAGGCAAAAAACCTGCACTCGGGCCCCCCCAAAAGCCCAGAGCCCACACCCCATGCACTGTTACCTGTATAGGACCTTAGGGGAAGTCCTCCTTTTAAATCTCTTTGAAAAATGTTTGCTGCAATTATATCTTAGTTTTAAAGAAAGATGGACATGAAATACAGCTTGCCCTTTCAAATCCTTTGACATCCTAACATGATTCCATTTCTACTTTCCTCTAAGAGTCTTTTTCAGTTGAAAAAACATTGACAATTAATTCTTGAAATAAAGATTGTAGGTTAGTGAGGCAACTCCAGGCATACAGGTGCCCAGACACCTCCTGTTCTTGCTGCTCAGTTCTCAGGTCTCGTTCGGTCACCACAGCTCCTCTCACTGATCAGGCCAGGGGGCTCCTGCTGCAGGCCAACTGCCGAAGGGCTCTGGCCCTGCACACGGGCTTGGGTTTACTGTATCTGATGCTCTCCTTTCCATATTCTCTTTCTCACTTCCACCTTACGTCTCATAGCTGAGAACTTCTAGATCTACCTGGACCAACTGTCTGTCCCACATCCCAGAAAGTTCACTGACTAGGGAAAGACAAATCGGAGACTGCAGATTCCCTGGTGGCCCAGAAATATATTCCACTGAACTGCCGCAGGGTGTCGAATGTCCCTTAGGTTCTCACAAGATGGGTTTATGCTTCAGGAAGTAGGGCCATCCCACCAGCAGGGCAGTTCCTGGTTTCCATGGTGACAGAGAAGGACACCAGTTTCAGTTAGGAACAGAATCTTCCTTTGCTCCTTTAAAACAGCTGATGTTATGGGCTTGCCGGTGCATACCTATAATCTCAGCACTTGGGAGGCTCAGGCAGAAGGATCACTGTGAGTTCAAGGCCACTCTGGGCTACAAAGTGAGTTCAAGGCCACCCTGAATGGCACAGTGAAACTTGTCTCAAAAGACAAAACATTTTTATAATTAAAAATAAAACCACTGGTGTTCACTACCACAACATTTTTCCCAACATCATCAGCATGGGACTTTGCCAAGTGGAACTCAAGAGACATTTGAATGGAATGGAAAACCATTAGTCCCAGGTCGTTAGGCCAACAATGATGAGGTGTGTCTGTCGCAAGATCTCATAGAGAGGTTCCTCATAAATATGGCTTCCCTTATTCTTGAGAAAAGCAGATACTGCTATGCCTGCACCAGGATTCAGGATTCAGAAGTGGGGATTTCAACCCTGCTCCCATCCCACACCTCACTGTAAACTAGGCAAACATTTTCAGCCTCGGTTTTTCCATCCTCAGCTGTTGGAGGGCAAAATACTTACATCTACATTTTGAGAAGTATGAGAATAAAATTTATTTTGATCATGGGAGGAGAAGAATAAAGTTAGGAAAGATTAATTTCTCCAAAAACAAATGATCATTTGTAATCTTGTTGATTATAAAACTATAGAACTTACTGTATTTCTGTAGCAATTTGGCCAGGCTGGAGGCAACAGATTCCGAAGGAAGAAAATTTTCTTTGAGGTCTTCAAATTGCTGACTGCGTGACTCCTGGTTGCTCTCCAGGCTGCTCATTTCTGCCCTTGGATCACACAAAGGGGTGTCGGGAGCTGCCATGGTGGCATCCATGGCAGAAGAGGCAGAGCTCAAGACTGTAGGGAAAACCAAATGTCAGATGAGTCCATGTTGAATGATAAGAACAAGGTTTCATCAGGACTCAAGGATGTATAACCAAAGGTATCAACTTACTGTGGAGAAAATGTTGATCCACACTACACAACACTTGCAAGTTTTTAAGGATTAAAACAAAGAAAAAGTACAGATTTCAGATCTGAAGTCACCATCTGTGGCTCAGACTCCACCAAGAGGGAGGGAGTATGGCACAGGGTCCCAGGTAACAGCCTGGAATCAAACAACAGAATTAGAAACCAGTGACATCATGGAATGTCATCCATGACATCACTTCCCCTCACCTGGGCCATCATGCCACACAGGCTGCCTGTTCTCTTTGGGAAGCCACCACTGATGAGGCCCTCCAACTCCTCCACCAATTTCTTTTTTTTTTT